CTATTTTTGATTTTGTAATGTTTTGAAGTCCTGTATCTCTTACATTGGTTTGTTTAGATCGGTTTTTATTCTGTTTTATCCTCTTTAAAATAAAATAAAATAAAATAAATATACATACCAACTAATCACAATGAATATAATCATCATAAGTCACAAATGTGAATTTAAAATACCCGACAATAATGATGATGGGAAAATAAGACCTAGAGACAGAGGAGGTGAGGTTGGCGTGAAGCGGTAGAGAGATAAAAAAGAATCTAGATATGTTAAGTACATGTATCTACTGCCTACGGCAAATGCAAACATCATGTACTCACACTAATAAAATTGTAAAAGTTCGTGGATGGTAGTGCACTCACTGTCTAGGTAGGCAAGTAGGCATAAAGGACTGGAGGTCATGAGCTCAGCACTGAACAAATAAATGACTTCAAGGAGCTATCAAGGCATCCAAGTGAAAGCAAATGTTAGTTTGATGCTCAGATTCATAGTTCAGAGGAGAGCTATTCAGGATGGAGCACAAAATGCAAATCACTTTCCTGAAAATCAACAGATATAATCATTAAATACATGAAATAAAAAGAAGAAAAAGACCTAGAGGAATAACAGCATTGGAAGGATAGGGAGACGAGAAATTGGTCGTTGGCTCGAGGGCTGGGGAAGGACCAAGAGTGGTCACATGAGAACCAGCCAGCCAAGGAGGAGCTCGGCGAAGACCAAGTGGCCGATAGCGCTGGGTACTACTGAGGAGTGAGGGACAGTGTCCATGGGATGCAGTAAGGTGGGGACCGCGTGTTAAAGGTGGATTTTGGTGAAAGGATGGCCCGAAGTTAAAGGGATTGAGGACCACGTGGGAGATGTAGCAAGTGTAGACAGCTCTGTGAGGGTACTTAGTCCTGAAAAGAGAAACAGGCAGTACTGGTGTGAGATGTGGGGACTGCAGAGGTTTTCTAAACTGGGAAAGAATGTAGCGTTAGCCTGTGTCTGTGGGAGAGTCAGATGAGCCAGGCTGATTGCATACACCAGAGACAAAAGGACACTGGGTTTTCTCTATAAGACAGAGAGAAGGGGATCCAGGACAGAGGAAGGGACTTCATCATCAGCCTCGCAGAATTCTCATGGATGAGTTCATCTACTTGGACAAGTAAATAGCTGGAGTTTTGTCTTGTTGGTTTTTTAGCACCAAGTCAATTTTAGTATTTCCTTACCATATTATTGTCCTTTTTTAAAACTATCTTTACATCTCACAATTATTTTATTCTTATGAAGCTTGTTTAAAAATACAACTAATGTCTACCAAAGCCATGATTTTTCAAGAACTACTCAAAGAAATGAAATTCAGATATTTTAGAGAAAGAAAAATCTAGAAAACTGTGTTTTGGTATACTTTTCCAGAACATTCTCCAACATCATTTTCACAGTGACTGAAGGAAATTCAAGTGGAAAATTAGATATCAATGACTTATGTTGATCATCACTTTTCTTTTGGACCAGTATTGATCCAGGAAGTGGCTGTCCTGGTCCTCAGCCACTACCCATCCACCTTAGCCACCTGACTCCTTAGAGAGTCCCTGAGTGTCAGTCTTGAATTGCCTAGTGTTGTGTGAATTTTCCAGAGAGACATGAAAAAAATGTCTGCCTCTGAATTGAGAAGGAGCTGACAGTCCAAAGAACAACTTGAGCAGGTCCACTAGGTGAGTCTGCAAGTTTATTAGGGGTGACTGACAGAGCAAGGGACAACTTGTAGGCTGCAGCATCTCCAGAGTCACTAACCCATCCTGGGCTAGGACTCTAATTTTTTAGGGCACCAACTAACTAAAAAAGGATCAAAAGCAAGAAGGGCCCTTGGGGACAGCTGTGTTACTCTGCTTCTATCCCATCCTTATCAGGAAACTGCCGGTTTCGGTAAACACTGTCCTGCCCCAGTGGTGGGTGACCTTGTTGTACAGCAATCTGACACACAGCTGGGGCTAAGCAGTGCAAGATGGAGCTACTCTGGAGAGGGTTCCAAGAACTGGTCTCACCACACCTTGATCACTGACAGTTTGTAGACTGTCTTAGTTACTTTTCTCGCTCATTGTTGAGACAGAATACCTGACACCTAACGTTATTTCTTACAGATTGGAGGTTTCAGTCTATACTCTAAGGCAAAATGACATAGCTGAGGTGCAGCATTTCATGAAGGCTGCAGATGGCAAGCAGGAACAGCAAAAAAGATGCCGGACATGCCTTGTTCCCACCCTTACACTTGTATGCCAGCTCCATCCCCGGGTGGGTGCAACACTCACATAGCCAATCCCAGCTCTAGACAACAAATCAATCACAAATACTCGGTTCAGCCACATCCATCATTGTATGAGGCTTGGGGGGGGGCATCCAAATACAAACCATAACATAGACCCTCACAGATTCAGATTCATTCACATCACAACTCAAAAGACAAAAAGTCTTCCCACAAGAATCTTCACTCAGAAGAATCACCTCTTCTCCCTTCTAAAGTTAAGCATCTGGAAATGATTGAGAATCTCTTTCTTTCCAACTCTGGGAGTATGAATCATTTTTCTACCATCTATTCATCTAGAAAAACCCTCTTTATCACACGTGCTAGTGCTCTCTATGCAGAGATGAAGACCACAGATATGAGTAGATAATGAAAAGAAACATAGCCTTTCACCACTAAGCCATAGATTCATAAAATCTGAAGGGATTTTGAGGCACCATGAGTTAGTAGATTCATCCAATTCGGTCTCTCATTCATGGGATCCCTCATCAATTTCCCTAATAATAGCACTATAACCTCTGTTAGAATCTTGCAGGTAATAGGGAAACTCTACTTATGAAACTAACACTAGGGAGAACGGGACAGTGCCTTAGGATTTCTAAAGGGTGCTCTTTAGGAAAATAGGCTTGATCCCAAGGGCAGAAATGAAACAAAAGGTAAAGCCTCCAAGAAGCAAATTTTATCTTCACATGAGAAAGAAGACCCTGAGAGACAGAGCCAGCCAGAAAGACTTCATAGTCTCATCCTCCGCCCATCTTTCCCCTTCCTTCTGAGATGGAGCGTCCTCCTGCCCAGCCTGCCTATGGTTCACTGTAAATGCAGGAAGAATTCCTGGTTCCCAGCCAAAACAAGTCTGGGAGCTGCTTCTAGTGTGTCCTTCATTATACTGATGGGAAAATAGTGAGCATCCCATTCTTTTCCTAAGAAGCCTGGAGAATCCAATAATGGAGTCATGTCCTACACGGGTCCACACAGCAGACTGTAGAGAGAAAGAATGCTTAGAAAGAGGGGGTCTGGAGGTTTAGCTCAGCGGCATAAGCACCCGTCTTGCTAGTCAGCAGTCGTGAGTTCGATCCCCAGTACCGATAAAAAAGGAAAAAGACCAAAAAAAAAAAAAAAAAAAAGAGCCTTGCTGAACTGCAATTTGCTCAAAGTAGGGAGTACTGGGAACAGAGAGCAGGGGATAGGGATCAGCAAGGTCGTACACATACACACTGTAGAAGGGTCACTGCTCTCACCCACAAAGGACACAACTCTTTTGCTAGTTATATTTTTGCTTACACAAATAGTATCAGACTTTCCTAAATCCCTGAAAGCTGGTGTTTAAAGCAGTAGTTTTGGACATCATTAGTTTTTTATTATTATGAACATCTCTCTCTGCGTACATATAAATCTACCTCATTCATTTTACAAGTTAAATAGTATTCCATTAAGAGGATACACATAATTTGTCTCTTATTGGACATCTGAGACACTCGCAAGTCTTTCTAAAACCTTTGTGAAAATCCTTATGCACACACTGGTGTGCTGCACTTCTGTTAAAGCTCCAAGTTTTTCACCTAATAAGCAGTTGGCACCTTTGTGCCTACATCCCTGTGCATATATCTGAGTACTTCTGAGTGTAAATTCCTTAAAGAAGAATTGATAGGCCAAAGACAATGAATATTTTTTAAAGGTACTACCAGATTCCCCTCCAAAAGACTCACCAATTTACATGTGGGAGTTTAAGGGAACTCTTACTTCCCCCATATTGATTACCACTTTTAATGTTTGCTAATCTGTTGGGTGGAAAGGAGGCTTTAAAAGTTGCATTTCCCTGTCATTGATGAGTTTGAACATCTTTTCATATCTTTGTTGATATTTTTATTTCTTATCCAGGGACTTGTGCATATGCATCCTCTGCTAGTTTCTGTAATTATGTTGAGATGTCTTTTTTCATATTGATTCAGAGGGGTTCTTTATATGATTAACACTTGATAAATGCTTTATCTGTTTTACATGCTGCAAAAATTGTCGCCTGGCCTGTCATTCATCTTCTAACTTTGCTTATCTGTTCATTTTTCTAAAAATTATTCAAATTTTCTCATTAATTTTTAAAGACATTTTCTAGCTTCAGGACATTGATCCTGGTCATTAACCTTAAAAAATATTTCTGTTTCCTTTTTTGCTCTGGACTTGGTCGATTTAGAAGATATTTTAAGTTTATTTAGACACATAAACTTTTGCATACCATAGGTGTTTGGGATGGTATTCCTCATTTGGAGATGAAATCCTGATCAATATCTTCTTCAGGTTCTCTTAGCTATTTTTTTAATGCATCTGGAATTTATTTTGTTGTGTGGTATGCCATAGGAATCTTGCTTCTTTTTTTCCAAAATAATTGGTCAAATTTCCCAATATCTTTCATCAAATTAGTCATTCTTTCCCTCAGATTTAGAATCCCAACTGACTCATACGCTTAATTTTTATTTGGACTTAAAAGACAGAAATGATTGTAATCAACAATCTTAACTTCACTTGCAGGGGTGAGATGAAGTTTTATTTATTTTGGACAGGAAAGGGGTGTGTGGTGTGGGATAAAATCAGGGGGAGGCGGTTAAGATAGTCATGGAATTTATTGTGAAAAAGGAAAGTCTGCGAAAGAAATGACAACAGAAAAACTACTGAGTCATAGAAAGGACATGTTATTTTTTTTAATGACTTCAAAAAGGCCCCAAGCAAGGATTATTTAGGAGGACCTTAAAATAGAAGATGATGCGAACAGAATTGGACTCGCAACACAAAAAAAAAAAGTTCCCAAGCAGTCCACCCTGCCGTCTAACCTAGTGGCTGCCATAAAATACATGTCAAGGTTCACTAATTAATTAACAAAGGCAAAAGGAATACAGAAAACTGGACAACACCGAATACCTTTTATTGAGTACCTACTATGGTCCAATCTGTACAGTCCCTTCCCACACATTTTACTTTATAAAATATATGAAATGAAATTCCCACAGTCTTCCAGACGTGCTGGCACATACCTGTGATTCTAGCACCCTGGAAAACTGAGGCAGCGTCACAAGTTTGAGCCCAGCTGGGCATTGTTAAACACCCTGATCAATTTCCTTCCAGTCCTGTTCTGTTACATATGTTTCATGGCAGGAGCTATCATTTATTAAAGCTTTATTCCAATGCCCAGAGCTGATAAGTATTAACACAATACAAGTTTAAGCTTTTGAAAATACTTTTGTAACAATCTTGTGACACAGCTACTATTATTACCATAATTGTACAGATAAAAGAAATTGGGACTCTAGAAGGTAAGCAATGTGTCCATTCTTTTTTAAATTTTTATTTATTAGTGGTACGTTTGTAAAATATAATGTTTATATTCTTGTGTGGAGCTGGTACATATACATAAACATCTTAATTCCTTTTCTTGCCCATTTATTTCCTTCCTTTCCCTGCCTCCTTCCTCCATCTCTTAATCCCTTCCCCTCTCAGAAAAATCTTTCCGCTTCCTATCATCTTTTATTTCACTGCCTATTTATACTTTGCATTTACTGTAAGAGAAGCCATTCAATATTTAAGCTTGTGTATCTGATTTATTTCATCTAACAATATCGTTTTGAGCTGCATTCATTTTCCTACAAATATGACTTAAATTTATCTTTCCTTATAGCACAATAGCTCTGCATTTTGTGTAAACCACGTTTTCCTTATCCATTCAACACTTAAACTTGTATCAGGCAAGTTTCCCACATCATTAACTATTCCACGGAAAGGTTCGCTTAATGACTGTGTAATATTCCATCAAGTGGGCAGGTCGTCATTTATTTAACCACTTAAGTACTTATGTTCAGTTGTCAGTGATTTTTAATAAAATAGTAAGTGTGCTTAGGAATATCTTTGTATTTAAAACTTAGGAATGCCTGAGCGCTCATCTAAAAAGAAATTAACAGTACTCTTATTGGTTGATTTTTTTTCAGGCTCTTCCCACATACTGTCAAATTGTCTTCCAAAAAGTTTCTACCATTTTACATTCTGTGCACCATAAAACAAAGCGCTCATCTTATATTCTAGCCAATATTTTACATGCTGATTTTATTGGCGTTAGTGGAGATTGACATTAGGGCCTTGGCACTGAATTTCCATCCTCATCCCATTCTGATTTGTTGTTTTGAGACAAGATCTCACACGTTTCCCAGGCTGGACTCAAACTTGCTTCAGCCTCCCAGGAAGCTGGGATTACAGGCATGAGCCATCACACCCCACTAAATCCTAATTTTAATGGATAAGCAATTATACATCATGATTATAGTTCATTTTTATCATACAGGACAAACAAAACGGACTTTAGGCCTTCTAAAAATTTTAATGAAGATATGACAGTAAACAAGACAGACATCCCCACCCCATCCCCACACCCTCTGCCTTCCTGGAGCTCACAAACCAAAATAGGGGTGCATTAAACATGCAACCCTGAGCTCCAACTGTAAGTTCTATCATAGCCATTTTGCGGTGCTTGGTGTTTAATGGTCTTTTTTAAAGTACATTAACAGCAACAACTCATTTGACACAACAGCCTTTGAGATAGGTATTGTTATCATTATTATTTCCATTTTACAGATGAAGAAACTGAATCTCCACGAGGTTCACACAACACCTACCCAAGGTCATACAAGCAGAAAGGCACAAAAACAAGGTTCCAACACCAGCTTTCCAAAGAGCACCCTTCACCGCTGCACCTCACCGCCTGCCTCCCGCAAAAGGGCAGAAATACAGGGCGCTGCGGCTCCCGGAGAGAATACAAACACGCAGAAAGATGAAAACAAAGCAAACGAGAACAGACAGAAAAAGAAAAAGAATCAGAATGGCAGGAGCCTTTTTGAGTCTCAGAAATACTGGCATGCGGCCCTGCGCTGCGCCTTTCTTGCCTCCAACGCCGGAGAGGGGGACACGTGGTCAGCGGTCACACACTGGTCAGCAACTGCCCCACTCCAAAGGCCCAGGAAAGGGAGAGAGTGGAGGAAGGAAAGGGGCAGGGTTCTACCTTCCTAGACCTCAGACAGGTGGAAAAGAAAAGGCTCAACCCCAGCAGCACTCCGAGCTGGTGAGAGGAGGAGAAAATGGAAACACCTACTATTCCTGCCCGCTGGCCCCGGTAGCTTAAAAGGGGCCTGGAACTGGGCGCCCCCGCTGGCGGAACCCGCGGCTCTGCAGCGCTCCCGCGGCTGCAGTCCTGTGGGCTGCAGCGCCATCTAGCAGAGGTGGAGTGCAATGGCATCATGGCCACAGGGCAGTCCTTGGAGTCCAAAGGCTGAGGGCATACGAAGTGTGCATCATGCTAGATGTCGAGGTCCCTGTGCTGGAGGAACAAAGGTCTGCCTCGGAGAAATTCACGGTCCAGCGTGGAGGGCCATCACAGAAGCCACGATCCTATTTTCAAAACAAGAGATGTGTCAGAATGGTGAATAGTGGTCAACGCCCCAGGAAACCGAGCTGGGCACCAGCGGGATGGTGGCTTTCAACTCCATGTAGGGAAGAACCTTCCTACCCAGACGGTGCCCTGGGAGGAAAGCATTTCTTGTGATTCCAAGTACGCAATCTAAGACCAGATGACTAATGTCAAGGCTGCTTCTTGCCTTGTGTAGGGCAGGAAGTCATCTAGTCCAATGCACTATCTGTTGCTTTTAAACATCTAATTGAGCTCTGCTTTCTAGGGGAATATGATTTGGCAGGTCATCTGGGAAGACAGCTGTCTATGTTTATAAATTTCAAAGTCATGAGCAATGCTCAAAATCAGAATCCAAAATACATTACCTTGTTTTCCAGAGTAAGTCATTAGATTTCAGCTGGAAATGTGAGGAAGAGGCTGAGGTGCCTTTGTCAAAGCGGAAATGGGAGGAATGGGCCGGAGAAACAGAAGGCACTTCAGCCTCAGCCCCGAGAGTGTGTTTTCATTCTGAGAAGCTGCCAAAGGCTGTCACATTTTGATAGTCATAGAGGGTCTAGAGGTAGTTCTAGGTACTGTCTTAGAATAATTAAACAAAAGAGCACATCAAGAGATTGCTATTAAAACACTGCAGAGACTACATACAAGCACATGGAATATAAAAGGAAACCCCAAACGCAGTCCACAGTTAGGAGGGGAGCACAGTTAGGAGGAGGCACAATACGACCTGGCCACAAAGCACTGAGCCTCAGAGCAGAAAGGGCCTCGCGCCTAACACAGGTGAGCAGCACTGACTTGCAGTGGAGAACAAGGTGACATTCCAACTGGGTCACTGGCAACACAATATTTGAACCCAAAATGAAGCAGGGGAAGAGTTTCTCAGAGGAAACAGCAGGGTGGGCAAAAGCATGGAATCTGAAAGCCTGGACTAGAGGTGGGGTGGGTGCCCCCTGCTGCCACCAGAGCACAGGGAGTGCAAGGGGTGAGGGACAAGAGCAGAGGTGTCATGAGCCATTCCACGCCTAGGACTGTCCCCAAGGAATTTAAAACATGCTCCATGTATTGCACACCAATAGAGGCAGAGGCCTTGCTCTTAACAACAAAAAGTAACAACAACCCAACTGTCCATTAACTGGTGGATGCATAAATAAAACGTGGTGGGTCATTAGCCACCAGCAATTAGAGAATGGAGTACTAATACATGCTATAGCATGAATGAACCTTAGAAAGATTCTAAATAAAAGAAACCAGGTACACAAAAAAACCACTATATGTGGTTTTATTCCATTTATATGAAAAGTCTGGAACAGGCAAATCTAAGAGGCAGGACGTAGCCTAGGGCTGGGAGTGTGGCAGGGGGTGTTAGGATCAGGAGTGATGGCTGGAGGGTCTAGTGTTTCCTTGGGGAATAATGAAAATTGGTGATGAGAAGAGTGACACAACTCCATGAATGAAAACCACTGACCTACACGTTTCAAATGAGTAGATTGTGTGGTATATGAATTATTGCAACAAAGCTATAACCAAAAAAGCGGTCCTTTCCTGGAGTCAGTGTGAGAAGTACTAAAATAGTCCACAGAGAACACTTAGTCTGACTGTCCCCCAAGACACTGAAGAAAACATGAAGGGTCAGAAGAGGGAAGCTGTGTCCAGGACCCTGCAATGGCCAATGACACTGCTGTGAACAGAATACAGGACCCTGCCTCCCTCCCCCTGTGTGTGCCATGTTCCTCCTGACTTTCTACTCCTAAACCTCAGCCCCCAAGCAAAATTCCTGGTCACAGCTGCCTGAGTCTCCTCACCCATACAAAGAGAAATGGAGCTGGAATATTACTGTCCTGATTGCAGACTTGGAAGAACAGCTGTCAAAAACAGTCCTACTAGATGGTCATCCAGCAGCCCTTAAATGTTCTTAATAACATGGACCTCCCAATATCTCTACTCCAATATCTGAGCAGCTTGGTGAAGCACAGAATTCTGTCTCTCTGTGGCTGTCTGTGAAGGGAGCTCCCAGGAGCACACCTTGGCCGGAGCTCATTGGAGGGCTTAGAACAAATACCAGTGGGGTTCTCTTAGTTACTTTTTACTCGTTGCTGAGACAAAATACTTGATACGCAAAGTGGGAAAAAAAAGATTGATTTCTTACAGTTTTTGGAGGTTTCAGTCCATACTCAGTTGGCTCCAAGGCAAGGTGGCATGGCTGGGCCACAGTTCATGGCGGCTGCAAACAGCAAGGCAGAAACCGGCACAAGAGGGTGAGACACACCTTCTTCCTGCCATTACATCACATCCTGGCTCCACCCCTGGGCCAGTGTAGTACTCACACCCCCAATCCAAACCCTAAACAATGAACCAATCACAAATGCACAATGCAATTGCATGAGGCAACATAAACCATGACAGGTTCCAATCCCTTCCCACCGGAGGTTAAGTTTTTGAAGGACAAGGTTGTGTTTGACTGTGTAACCCTGTCTGCTGCAATAAGCCAGGCAGGCAGCTGTGACTGGTGAAGGAAGGAGAGTGAGCCAAAGGACCGGTACTGCTAACCACGCCCTTCCCCACCGTAGTTCGACCCTTGATTCCCAGTGAAGTTACTCGTTACTCGATCTGAGAGCTCTGGCTACTACCAGGGCTCCTCCAGCGCTTTGACCTGTCTTCTTCCTAACCCGCATTGCCATCTTGTGAAGACCAAACTTCAACTTTTCAGGTGCTTGCTGTGCTTAGAAATCCCTCCACTTTCCCAGCTCATCCCTGAGACTCTCCAGCAAGACTCACCACCCTGGCAAACTTGAGTGCCAGTTCTAGGAGCCACTGGATGCCCAGGTCAGCATCTCTTACCTTTGTAGATAATACACCATGCCTTCACCAACGTGAATGCCCTTCCCTGGCTTCCCTGCCTCTGACTATACCAAAGATGAGAGAAAAAATATCTTAGTGAGTTAAGAAGTACATTTTCATTCCCTTTTTTAAAACCCCCAGATCTTCTCCCATTAAAACAAAACTAGAACGCTAAGACACCCAGCACAGCAGCCTCTGTGAACAGAGGTGGTATCACCAGAAAGCACAAGGGAAGCAAAAGACTGAGCTCTGGGCTATTGAAATGGACTTTTGAAATTTCTGGCAAGCACAGTCTTGGAAGCCAGAATTCTGGTTTGGGAGAGCTGGTCACTATAAAATAGACAGCCTCTGAGTTCCGGGAGCACGGTTTGGGACACAGAAGAGGAAGTGGGACTTCACCCAGACATCTGCAGCTTTTCCTTCTCCCGTCCTCTGTCCCCCCATCTTGGTGGCTCGGCACATCGCACCTCCTTCTCACCCGTACTGCTCCAGGGCGCGCCTTCACTCCTGGCCCTGGGCTGCTGTCACAGCTCTGCACCCAGCACTGTGTCCTGGGTTTGTTTCTCTTGACCAAATCAGGCCCACTGCCCGTTTTGAGTGTTTTTCTTTGGTTGGTTGGTTTGGTGTTTGTTTGTTTGTTTCTTTCTTTCTTTCTTTCTTTCTTTCTTTCTTTGTTCATTTTGGTGCTAGGAATCCAACTCATGCCCTCAAGCTTGCCAAGCAGGTGCTGTGCCACTGAGCTGTATCCCTGGTTTCGATAAATAAGGTTTTATTGAAACACAGTCACATTCACTTGCAGGTTCCCTGTTTCGGCTTTCTTCCTGGGAAGGGAGCCCCACGGAGTGACCAAGGCAGGCTGGCCCAACAGCTCGATATCACCTTCTGGGCACTTTACAGAAGTTTCCACTGGCCCGTGTGCTAGATGCTAGAGGCATCAGGTGAGCAGGAGAGGTAGGGTCTCCTGCTGCTCCGAGCACTGTAAGCAAAGCCACCCACGGAGCAGCCTGGCCCTTCCGCCCTTTGTGCCGTACCCTCCCTCCACCCCCGAGTCCTCTGAAGGCCTAGTGACCCCTAAACATTTCAGAATTCTTAGATCAGTAAAAATAATTTTTAACGACAAAAGAGGCTCACAACACTGTCTGGTAGATATATTTTAAAAACCAACCTACTGGCTAACATCACCCCCATTTATAAGGGGAAACGTGGTAATATTACAGAAATACCAAGGTTCTCATCTCAAAGCCAAACAACGCTTCCTCCAGTAGCATTAGCTTTAAGAAAGTCATCATCCTGGCTTTATTTTTCTCCTTTTGTTATAGAAAGGTGACTCTTTTGTTATAGAAAGGTGACTGTCGCAGGTCTGTGATGGACATGTAGGAATGTGAACCTGGTCTAGGCACCCCGGTTTACTTGGCTACCCAGTCTTTGAGACCCTCCCCAGGTGGGGGCCTCTGGAGAGTTCCTGCCCCTCTCCTCATCGCTGTGTGTGGCTCGGGCTCACAGGAGCATCTAGCCTGTCAGCAGCACAGATGAGAGACGCAGCTGCGGGTGTCCCTGTGGGCAGCGGAGCAAGGTGGCAGGGACCCAGGAGGGCTCCCGGCATGTGATCTTTCCGCTGACACACACAGGAGAGCCCAGTGACAGTCGTGCCCACAGCCCCATGGCAGGGGCTCTCCCCCACATACCGCACCCAGTGAGCATCCGCTCCCTGCCAGGTCTCACATGACCAGGATGCCATGAGGGCTCCGGGTGGCCACGGCCAGCTCCCGGTCAGCAGGTGGTGGCAGCAGGCACTGAGAGAAGCCGCCGTCCTGGCAGGCAGCCCCAGGATAATGGGTACTCACCGCTCACATGAAGCTTCTGGAAACCTCTCAGGCAATCCCGAGGTCTGTGGGAAATAAATCATGGCGCTACCATGAAGGGAATCTCAGCAGGGCCTGGTGCCAAGGACACTCTTCTGCCTGACTCTCTCTCGAGACAAGCATTGTCCAAAAGCTCCCACCTTCTCCTGTACCCCCCAATGTGGGCAAGAGATGAACATTAAGGACCCTATTTTTATTTTTTCACAAATGGGATGGGTCTGTCTGTTTGTAGCAGTCTTCATTTTACAGATTAAAGGTTTCCTTGTGCTCCCGAGCTGATCTACAGTTACTGCGTTTCTCAGTAGTTATTTAATCCTGTGTCCCCCTTGTGACACGCAGCAGTAGAAAGTAAAGCTAAATTTCCATGGGTAATTAGTCAAAACTGAAGGTTTTATAATCCCCTTACTGAAACGCCTCACAGTTCCGAAGGAAACAAGCCTGGAGGTGAAAGAGAATTGTTCAAAGCCTCAGCACTAAAACAGAAACTAGACAGAAGATTTTCTGGTCAGTTAAGACCTTCCTCCACTACACCCTGAGTCCTGCTGGCCATTTGCTAACACCCAGAATAAAAGTGATTTTTCTCCTAGGAATGGGAACTTTGGGGCCAACCCTGGCTCATGGTGCAGAAGGGGTTTCAGGGAAAAGGAAAAGTTACAGGACAGGCCCTGTACGGATCCCTCAGAGCCACACTTCCACTAAGGGCTGACAGGACAGGCCAAGCTCTTAAATAATGACACCACAAAGTTTGAGTTTGATTTTGATCACTTAAATACTAACACCCCCGACATTGAGCCCAATGCTGGAGGAGAGGAGAAGAGCCTGGTGAAGGTCACACAGTTGGGCGGAAGAGGGTATTAGGGGCTCGGTCTCGAGGGTCAGAGTCCTCCAGTCAGCAGTCCTGTGCCGAGGCTGATGGCCAGCCTGAGCCTTGGAGCTTCGTCTCAGCTTTCCCCACAGACGGTCAGCTGCTCTTCCAGACCACTTGGTGCCAGGCTGATACTGCATTCCTCTCCTTGGCCCCAGTGCCAGGGACACAGTCACTGCCTGGACTCGTAACGGGACCCTTCCCGTCGCCTGATGCTGCCCCCCGCATCGTGATTCCTTGTGTTGTAGCCCAGGGAACAGCTGGCCAGGACTGGCAGGCAAAGCTCTGAGTCAGGCCTGGCTGGCCCGTGGGGGTCACCTGCCCTCCAGGAGGCTTGGGTTTACTGCCCTCTTGCCATGTGTCACAGGAGGACACATTGAACTGTCCCTGTGACATGAGGGCGTGGAGCCAGCTGCTGAGGACAGGCAGGGAGAAAACCCAACAGACGTCCAGGTGGCCTCCCTTGCCTGAGGGTGTCCTGGGGACACAGAGGAGGAGACAGTGGTATCAGCTCCCTGCCACACGTTGGGATGGAGAGGATGATGAGACCTAATCTTGACCACAGAACGCCCAGTTCCCAGCATGCCTCCTGCACAGCCTAGCTCATGCGCCTGTCTAAGAATGCAGCGGGCCAAACCAACACATGGCAGACTGGGAGGACACCTTTCTCGGCAGGAGGAGCCAAAGGCATCAGCCGATGTCCCCCAGATGCTGAAGCCAAGGACCTCCAAGTTCTGTTAGAACGTTAAACCACTGTAAAGTCAGCACAATCATCGTCATCACGGTACGTGAAGATAGACCTGAGGACCTCCGTGGACCCCCACGTGATCTTATTGCTGTTTTCGCCTCACCCTATGAAGAGCAATTTATAGGCAGGCAAAACCAGCCATCTATAGAACAGATAGTACAGGAGCCCAAAGAGAATTCCTACCTGCGCCAGGCTGAGTGGGTGCCCTGTGGTCTTCATCACAAACATGGGTAGAGGGATCTTGGAGATTCACCGTGGCCCCTCCAAGCACATCCAAATGTAAATGTGATTCTTCAGCACAAGCAGCTTGGTCCCCACTATGTCCAGTAAGCCTCACACACAGGCAGAAGTTGCAACTCCTGCCGGTCCAGCCACAGACAACAGAGCTTACAAAGACAGTGGGTGCAGAAAGAAACCCTGGTCAGGACCCGCACCAGCCTTGGGGAAAGTCCAGCTCTGCTTCTAATGATCTTGGCCTTTGTCATAACGCTCGGTTTCACTGGGCCTCAGTTTCCTGACCTGTAAAATGGCCATGTGAGTCTCTCTTACCTCTTCCCTGGAGTGTGGCAGGTATCAAATGAGGGAGAAGAATCTTGGAAGCCATAAGATAGTTTTACAAAAGGCTGCAGCAGAAGGATCACCAAAAGTTTGAGGCCAGCCTGGGTTACAGAGTGAACTGAAAGCAGGGCTGATCCACATAGTGAGACCCTGTCTCAGAAAAACAAGATGAAACCAAAAAAAAAAAAAAAAAAAAGAGCTAAGTTTCATGTTATGTATATTTCACCACAATTCTTAAAATGAATCATTGTTTTTAAAAATCAGCATGAGGAGGGAGCGTTTCAAGAACAGGAAGAAGCCAACAGAAGCAGAGCTTATGCAAAGGCTCAGAAGTGCAAGAGCAGCATGTGTGTTAAAGGGTGGCACGTGGGCTGGTGGGCGCCCCTGCAGGCCCTGTCACCTCAGAGGCTTACAACAATCAAACTGAGCCCAGGATAGGAGGTGGAAGGTCCAGGGGACAGGGAAGGAACAATACCACTGGCACCGAGGCGCAGAGAGGGGAGCTGCCCTGCTCCCAGCCTGCAGTCACCCTTGGTGGTCTCTGTCTCAAGCCCCGCAGGGAGAGTGGCTCACGCCACCTGACATCTGAAGGCGAGAAACTTTGCTGCAGAGAGAAAAGTAGGGGCCAGAGAGAGGAAAAGCAGGAGCAGAAGTGGTCGTAGGGCCTGAGCTGTGTCCTCCCACACCACAGCATGCAAGCTTCTGGGTCAGCCGAGTCCCTGGACCACTTCCCTGCAAGTCCAGATGGGGACATCTGCTTGCCCCAGATGGGTTTTAACACACTGCACACCAGCTGAGATGCCTCGGTGAGGGGCAGAGGTGGATTTACTGAGCAGTTAAAAAGAAATCGGGGCAGGACTCCAGCTTCAGGGGCTTCGGGGCCGTGATTCTGACAGAGGATCAGACCGACCTGTCAACCAAGGAGCAAGACCAGCTTCGAAGATTTGCTAGGGTGGTTGGTCACTATCTCAGCGCTGATGCTGTAAGGTGGCAGGGCGTAAAGAAGTCCTTGTTTTGTTTGATTTTATTGTCTGTGATGGTATGAACAGCTATTTTAAAGAAAATAAGACACCATAATAGCTAGTGCTGATTTAATACCATCTTGTTTTGAAGTCCCATCAAGCTTTTGTTCTTCTATCTCCATCGGTCTTAACATGTTGTATCTTATTGGATTGTAAGTGATAGTACAAACAAAAACTTCTATAGACAAGGAGATACTATGGAAACCATTGTTCGTTTTCTGTTAGTTGGTTCTAAGTACCCTGTAATACTGTCATTCCCTTGAATAGTTTTACATTGTCTTGATATGTTTGATGCTACAGTATACGAAGTATACTCAAAGATTTCAAGGAAAGAGACACTATGGTAACTACTGTTATGTCGGACTATCTTGTGGTGAAACACTATGTTGCTTAAATTGTTCTACTCTGACCTGTGCTGTTATGTTGTTATGTCTTCTTTTATCTCAATCTCTTTTTGTTACTTTTTTTATTTTTTAATTAAGGGAAAAATAAATTTTAAAAATAGCAGGATATATTATAGTAACAATTTTGATTTCTTATTAACTTGATTTGAAACCCTATATTGCTCTCACCATCTTGTTTTGACTGATTTTACTCTATTCTGTTTTGCTTGATAGTATCAAGTTTGAGGGTATAGGCAACTATTTTGAAGACAATATGATTCACTATGATGCCCATTCTGGTTTGACTATTATCTTCTTTTGAAGTCCTATAATGTCTCCAATGTTTCAGTTTTATTGGTTTTGTTTAATTTTTTTTATAACTGATGACTTAGGCAATTCTTTTTAAGGTAGCAAGAGGCATTATGGTAACCATTGTTGATCACCTTGTATTCTGTTTTTACATCATGTACTATGTCCATCCTTTTGAATTGACTGACTCTGTTTTGTTATGTCATATTTGGTTTTATTCTCTTCAGAAAAAACTAATAAGAACTGCAGGAGTAATAAAACCCAAAATGTGTAATTGTTATTGTAAAAAAGAGAGGAAAAAGTGCTCTAAAGGATATAACTGCATGTATATTTAGGTGTATAAGACAGATAACCATATTACTGAGTTTTTGTTGGATCATTGAACAGAACTGTTTGCAGTCTCACTGAATGTCCACTTTGTATGCTTTAATTTTGTAACTTGAACAACTATTTCTAAGATGACAATATGTAATCTATTAAATAGTGATTTCTTACTGTTTATTTTTTTGAAATTCTGTATTATTTGTACCCTTTTTCTGTTTTTTTTTTTTTTCTTTTTCTCTTTAAATAAAATTGTTGCTGCGGGGGCACCTCAGTCCCCAGGAGGTGGCTGTTTCTGCGCAGAGAAGCCTCAGCGTTGAGAAAGCTCCTGGAGGTGACCCCAAGGCAACCCCAGGTCTAGGGCAATGACCGGAGACTCCTGGGTGCCCTTAGTGGATAAAACCCTTATCCCAAGATAAATCTCTTGTCTTGCTGTCCTCAGTCTTGAGACAGGTTACGTATGTTTAGGACCAGTCAGCCTTGTATTGCCAGCTTCCAGCCAACTGACAGCCATGCAGAGGGAGGGTCTGACCCCAAGGTTTAAGGTTCTAGCCTCTTGCAAGGTACAGAGGCAAACTCAAAGTCAAGCTCTGTTATGCTTTCAGTTACCTATTAGGCATCTGCAGGCCCAAGTGAAGAGTCATTGATTTTTTGGAGTTTTTTGTTCTTGTCTTTTTAATGAAAAACAGCTTTTAAGTCCCTGATCACCTCTGACGCAAACACACATCACGCCTTTAACAAAAGACAGGTCAAGAGCCCAGGTGTTCGTCCCCTGCCTCTCCTGGGCCAGAAGCTGACTCCTCTTCCAGTTCTGCCTCTCCTCCCACCTCCTGGCCAGTCTCTCTGACCACTCTGGGCTCCTGGTGGGGTCTTCACTTGGCCCTAGTTACCCAACGGCTAATACACATGCACCCCAACTTACACAGAAACCAGTGGCCAGGCTCCCCTCTGGAAGACTGCTGGGTGGCACTGAAGGGCTCACACTCACCATGGCTCAGACATGGAAGCCTGTGGCCCGTGGCTTTTGTGTCATGTGGCCTTGAAATCCCCACCTTCTGTGTGCTGTGGTGCTGTCACCAGTACAACAGGGAGCAAAACCAGTTCTCCCCTCCTCTGGGTGGTGGTCAGGACCCAGTCATTCACCACGTGAGAAAGTGAGGGGGAACTGAAGTCAGGAGGTTGGCGGGAAAGGACCCGGCGGGTGGCGTGATCCACCCGCCCCATACGCCAAGGTCAAAACTATTTTTAAAACTTGAATATTGCACTGCACTTTTTAAAAAAAAGGCTCAGTCTGCAAGCATTGACATAAATTGCTCTGATTATGTTTCTTATGTGTGGAGATACGTGAAGCTAGCTTTTGATTTCTTAGGCTGTGAGAGCATCTTTCAAAGAGGAATGAAATTGTGAATGGTGTACCAAGGGACTTCCAGATCTAAGGCTGAGAGAAAGTGGCAGCACAGGGCCAGCTTTGCAGGGACCCCAGCCTCCCCTCCCTCCGCCCCCTCCCCGTTCTTTCCCCACGGAGAACACCGGGACTCGGTTCACCCGTTCCCTCTCCTCTTCCTCTCCTCTCACCTTCTTGCTTTCCCTGTTCCTGGACCCCTCTCTCCTTCTACAGCAGCAGGGGTATCTCTCCCCTCCTCTCTCCTCTCTTTCTTCTAGTCTCTTCTCTTCCCCTCTCCTCTCTCTCTCTCTCTCTCTCTCTCTCTCTCTCCCCACACACACACACTTCCCTCTCCTCTCTCCTCCTCCCTCTCCTTCTCTGTTTCTCTAGTCTCAATGAAAACGCTGTTCTTCCACTGAGCGCCTGCCCTAGGAGCCGTGGCACAGCTCCTAATACGACTAAGCATCGTCCCTGTCACTGAGTAATATTTTACAGTTTATCACAGGCTTTGCCACACCCATCCTTTTTGTTTTTTCTTTTTTTCTTTTATCGGTAACTCATGACTGCCTGCTTGTGAGGCAGGTGCTTATGCCGCTGAGCTAAATCCCCAGCCCCCGCCATACCCATTCTTTGATTCGCACCACAGTCCTTGGGGGTGGTGGTAAGTTTCCCACTGGTGGGAGGAAGGTAAACCTCTGGGCTCCCCTCCTTTCACTTTCTGAGGCTCACAGCCACAGACAAAGATGTAGGGATTTCTTCTACTCCAGCTCCCTCTTGTCAGCAAAGTGATGTTTCTTAGTTTTAGTAGAAAAACAAGTCCTGGGTTACGCAAAGGTAAGTCCAGAGCTGCGCTGGGGTTGTAGCTGACACCGCTGGTTGTCATCCCCTGTCAAACAGAGCCCTGGTTTCGATGGGGCTGGAAATGAATCCAGCTGAGGAATTAGATTTCTTAGCCACTCCTTCAGGTAAGAGTGGCCATGGGACCAATTTAGAGCCAATGAGATGAAAAAGAAAGAATGGGACTTTTGGGGAACACTCTTTAACATGGGGACTGACTCATTCGGCAGGCCTCTTTGTTGGCCTTTCTTCTTTTTCTGTCTAAAATACAAATGCAATGACTGCTGCTATGGCAGCCATTTTGTAATCACGAGGGAACCTTGATCTGGGGCAGAAGGCTCCTGACAAATATAGCAGAAATAGCAGGCACGGTGTCTGTCCTAGGCCTGTTATCTCAGAACTCAGAAGGCTGAGGCAGGCCCACCTAGGTCATACAGCAGGTCACTGTCAGCCTGAACTACAAAGCGATACCTCCTCTCGGAATAAAACACAAAATACAGTGTAGCAAAAACAGAAAGACAGAAGACATTGGTACAGTTACAGCATTTCCACACGCACTCTAGAATGCTGCTACGGTTTGAATGTGTCTCCTCCAATTTTCAGGTGTTGCCAGTATGATAGCATAGTGACCTCAAGTTGCTTGGATCATGGAGGTGTCTCTCTCATTAATGGAAGTAAGGCATCTAAAAGAGGCTTCCGGCCGTGTTTATCCAACTTGCTCTTCAGCTCTTCTGCCCTTCCAGGGCATTGAGCCTCACCAGGCAACTAAACCTGCTGGGGCTGCCCAGCCTCCAGGGCCTGAGAGATGTTTTTGTTCTTTATAAACTTACCAGTGTGGGGTGTTCTGTTCAAGCAACGGAAAACAGACTGAGACAAAGCCCTTCCATAGACTTCTTCATAGGGAAGAAAAAAAACTTACACCTTG